TAGCTTAAGTTGATCATCTGCTGGGGTCAAAAAGAAACTTCCCTTTCTCCTTCCATTTCACTAATAAGATAATGGCAAATTGGTTAGATGTATTTTTTTATTTATATTTTGTTCCTATCTTCAGAAGCTTTAGTAAAGGCCTGGTCTGGTATAGAAAACCAGTTGAAAACTGCAGAAAATGAGGAAAATATTTTTATATATACCTGTAGAGAAAACAGCATTCAAGATACAGAGGTAATTTTAGGGGATCTAAAAGCCTGAAAATATTCCTTTACCATAGTTATCTTCCAAACACAGTAATCCTAGTTAATCTTCCCTGTAGAACAGTGATTATCAACCAAAGTGTTGCAGCACGCTGGAGTGCTGCAAGATCCTTCAAAGGGTGCTGTGCAATATTACCACTATTAGGTGTACAAACTTAGCATAAACACCTAGCATAACACCCACATCTGATTCACAAAATAAACCCAGAGATCTCAAATAGTACTGTCATCCATACTGTCAAAAACATTCAAACCTGTTTTGGTCTTTGAGTTCTCTGCAACAGAAGAATCGCTCTATTTTTAACATGGTCAAAAAAATGAGTGAAAGCTAAGATTTGGCACTTTCTAAAGGGTGCCTGGAGTCTAAAAAGGTTGAGAACCACTAATGTAAGGACACTATTTTATCTGGCAGACTAGGTCTCTACTCTGCTGACAGCCACACCCTTCATGTTAAAAACCAACAAAAGTTTTTGTCTGTCCCTTATTACACATGCTGAAATAAGATACTACAGTCAGCCTGCAAGCAATCCAACAAAACACCCCATGTCTGAATACCCCACTCCCTGATATGCTACAGGGAGATTTCGCAGTTCACAAAAAGGGATAAGAATGCATGCTAAACATAGCTTACAAGAAAGCAGAATTTAGAGATCTCTGACCCTATACACTGAAATTTAGGAGGATCTTCTTTCAAGTGGGACAAAGAAGAGTGTGCCTTGCTTAGATGATACATAAATATAGGGCTTTTGTCTTGCATGAAATTCCAATTTACTCTTAGGTATCCAGTGCATTTCTATATCAATAAGAAACTTGATTTCACAGCAAACTCCCCTTTATACCTGCCTTCTTCAATAGAGAAGTCTACACAGTTAGTCCAGATCCACTGTCATGCATGTCTTTATGCAACTCCAGCTATTCCAAGGCACAGCATAATCTATAAACACATTGTAAATTGAATGCTACTGCCCAAAGCACAAAGAAACAAATAAGAATTCCTTTACCTCAAAGTAATCTGCTGGGAAAGACAATCATGCCTTGCTTGTCTGCAATTGATCAACATCCTGTAACTGTGAGAGTAAGCTTTCATCTACTATTTGGTCATTGGAACAGAGTGTCACAACCGAAAGGGTGTGATTTTTGTTTGTGTGTGCTTCGGCACTGCTAAATTGTCCCCGCTAAATTGCAGCTTCTTTGCACGGTGGAGTTTTCTGCTGCAAAAGAGAACCCCGGTGCAAGGGAGAATTTCCTGCCAATTTGAAGCTTTCTTTGCAGGGTGCATTTCTTTGTTGCAGCACAGAAATGCTCGTTGCAAAGAGTTCCTGCCATTTGTATGCTAATTTGAGTCCCATTATTGGCCAGTTCTAAATTATTCACACATGGCGGCTAGTGATTGGCTTGCTAGGCGTATAAGAGGCTTGAGTGGTTTCCACCCAAGTTGGAGGACTCCATGAACAAGGGAGGAGGAGATGTCATGCTGTGTGAAGATCTCTAAGTGCTGTGGATCCTTACGGACCCAGTGCATTTAAAGCAGGCAACAGAGGTCTGATCAACCTCTAGCCTCTCCCCGTCGCCGAGCGCAATCCAGATGTATCCCTTCCCGCGTGCAACAAACTGGACCCACGGAGCCTAGCAAACTTCATGTAGCAGAAGGACCCACGGAGCCTAGCAAACTTCGTGTGAGTCCTTGCTGGACGACTCCAGAGCTCTTCTACCCGGGTTCGAGTCCTGCAGGTTTACTTTCCCGTCGCTGAAACCCTTTGCGATGTACCCTCGTATTTTCATCTTCCCGTCGCCGGAACCCTATGCGACGTACCCTCGTGCCCTGCAGGTTCGAGTTTTGTTTTCTTTTCTCTCTGTAACCGCAACTTAAGCAAGCTTTCCAGCCTACACCACTGCCATCTCGGTGTAAGTAAACAATCTTTTAAAACTACCGATACGCGTCCGTGCCTAATTCCAGCTCGAAGGCCTTCCCTCTCCGCCCCGGTGTGCCCGGGCTGCTGGCCACAGCCTGCGTGCAGCGCGAAAAGGGCTCGGGTTGCTCCCGGCCCGCACACAGAGCACTACAGAAGTGGTTTTTTTTTTGTTTTTTTTTTTATGGGATTATTTTTGGAAGCCATTTGCTATGGCATGGGGGGTCAGCAATATAAACATGGGGCCTTTTTCAATCTTACTTACCCTTCCAGGGAAGGGAGATGTTTGGGGATGGAAGATATGTACCCTCTTCAGTTTCTTATATATTCCTCTTTTTTTCAAGTATGCAATTAAAGGGCAGAATCCAGTAAGATCCTATAAGAGTAGGACTCTGCCTAATGTGCTGTTAATATTTATAAGCTTTTAACTTATTACTACTTATTTCAGAAATGTTTTATTACATCATAATACCAGGCTTTGAAACAAGTCCAGTAATCCAAAATTTAGCATTTTCACACCAGTATGTACTTAAGCCACATTCTGAAACCATACCAAAGACCTGCTGATTTGATGTACTGATGCCTCCAAAGTACCAAAGAATAATAAAATCCAGAAGAGTTCATGAAGGCAATTGTTAAAGAAACCTGATGCAAGGATAACATCTATACACAACAGCTTTAGCCTATCGGGAGCTCTGACTAGGAAGACTGTGCTCTGTTAAGCCAAAGGGAGTCCAGGTGGATACAAGGAGGCTAACAACACAAAGCTTCCTGCACAGTCAAGACCTAACCCCCCCCTCTTTAAAATGAAGCCAGTGAGCAAAACAGTACTATAAAGGTGATGCCAGGAATCTGGGATTTCAGTTAAGTGCACAGAGAGATTTAAATTGCCTATGACTGTGGATGACGGCTGCAGTGGTTACCTGTGGTAGGTTAGGGTGCTGTATCTTGTGTTGCATCAGTTAGCGGTAGTCTTATGAAGAATTTAGATCAGTGGTGCCCAAAACTTATTCCACTTTGGGCAATGAAGAGAGGACAATGTTGAGAGTGTCCATGGACCAAATCCAAATCTGATCTGGCTGCGCGGGGTGGGGCAGAGGGAGTGTGGCCTGCCCCATGCAGCTGGGGGGCGGGGGGTTAAGGGTGTGGCCCAGCCTGAATCCAGTTGTGCTGGTGGAGAAAGGGGCAAAACCCAGCCCCAATCCCACCACACTGTGGGGAGAAGGGGGCACAGCCCAGCCACAATCTGGCCATGCTGGGGGAGAAGGGGACATGCCCCAGCTCACAGGGTTTGGGAATCTGGCAGCGAGGGAGGGGAGGCAGCATTACTTGTCACCACTCCACCCGCCACAAGACTTCTGAACCTGTGGGGAGCTTCACAGGTCAGACACATTTGGCCCACATGCCAGAGATTGAGCTCCTGTGTTTTAAATGATAGGTTGTACGGGACAGTTTGGAAAGGGATGATCCTGCCTCAGGCAGAGGGTTGGACTAGATGACCTTTGAAGGTCCCTCCCAGCCTGACTTCTCTGGGGTTTTCATGAACAGCCTGTCCTGTTCCCTAGAGCTGCCAGCCTCCTCCAGGCCCTGGCTCAACTCCATTCAACATTATCTTGTGACTGGCACATGTCACTGAAATGCCGGTGCTAAATCACTTCCCCCTTGATCCCAGTCTACTAGAGAGCAGCAAACAGCGTTGCCAGGTCTTAAAGATGAAATTATCATACTGGAAGCTCAAAATGATCATATCTGCTGAAAGACTATGCTACACTGAAAGAATATGCAAATAAGTCTTTTTCTTAATTTACTTTCTCTTGCTTCTTGTAAGAAGCCAGTGAGTGAGAACTGGGTCATCAAAGTTGAAGTGCTTCTTTATTTGGAGGCAAGCAGTCATCATAAGAAAGGGCTGACAGCACACCCAGAAGTCAGCTAAGACTCCCCCCCACAGCGGGACTTGGGTTTTGCATGTGCTGCATCAGCGAGCTGCCTCGAAAATGATGGTTTAAAAGCTTGCTTAATAATTGTTCTCCAACTATTTAGTTGGTCTAATAAAAGATATCAGATTCACCCAAAGAACCTTGTCTGCCTATGTACTTAGACCAACACGGCTACAGCCTACACCCCTCAAAAATGATGGTACATTCTAAACACTTTTACTCATACTGGTTGTACATTGTACAAGGGTAGAGATTATTGTACAAGTACGATCATTACAGTCCACCTAGCAACCCTGGGAGCAAAGTTCTCTGCCCAAAATCACTTATGTGGCCTTTTCTGTGGCTTTTGCACTTCCCTGACCAGAAAAGAGGCTCTGGCCTGGGGTCCCCTCCCGCCCATGGGGCCTCTCCCAGGCCCTCATGCGTTGCCCTCTCCTGGCAGAGTTTCATAGTGCAGCGCCCACGGGCTCCTTGGCCTCGCTGGCGAGCCCGTGGACGCGAGCCCGCGCCCCAACCCGTCTTCTCCCTCGCCGCCCACGTGTTGGCTTCCCTGTGGGGGCGGGGCACGCTTCACACGCCTGCCACAAACGTGCTCCTCCCCCACACGCCCCTGCGGCCGTTACTGGCGAACTGAAGCGTCATCACCATAGCAAACTTCTCCCCCAACGGACCGCGGAACAAGCGGGCTGGAGCCAACCCGGGGGCGGTGCTGGGGTCACATGATCCCCGCCCAAGCTGGTCAACATGGCGGCTCCCATGAGTGGCGGCGGCCGCCTTTGTCGGCTGGCCTGGCGCCGCCGGGCAGGAGCTTTGCACAGCGGGGCGCAGCCCGCGGCGCTCGGCCGGGAGCCGGGGAAGGTTGCGGAGACGCAGAGCGGGTAGGGCCCGGGGCGGCCGGGCGGGGAGAGCGAGGCCTGTCTACTTGGGGCGCTCCTACAAACTCCCCTGTCGGCCTACGTCAGGACTCACGTCGCCCGCCGTACGGGGTGCCCCTGCAGAGTTCCCCTCCCCCCTGCCGCGTTCTGCCCTAGCCGCGCCGGCTACGTCAGAGTCCACGTGACCTGGCCCAGCTCCCCCGCCCACGGGTTCCCCTCCCTCCCCCCGCAGCTGCTGGGAGAGCTGGTGCTGGGGGGCTGTGGCTTTATTTTGGTTTTACATTTAATTTCTGGGTTATTAACACTTGTCATTTATTGTATCCAGCATATACTTCATCATATACCCACCCACCCCCAGTTGCCTTCTTTTTTGGAACTGGAAATATGGTAACTAGGGTTGCCAACTCTGACTGAAACTATTCTGGGAGATTTTTTTCTTCCCAACCTGATGTAATGTTATTAATTGATTTAATTTTCTTTAAATCTCCTATTTAAAATCCCCTGAATTTCATTCAGTAGTCCCTGGGAGATCAGTGCTGATTCCAGTAGACTCCCAGCCAATCCGGCAGGGTTGGCAACCCTAATGGTAGCCCTACCTGATTGCTAAGCCTAAACCATCACCAGCCCCAAGGGATACTAGACCTCAGGAAAAAAAACTGTTAGTGAACGATGATTTAATGCAGACTGATTTTGAAGGTATCCAGGTTGTAGCTGTATTGATCTGGAGGCAAAAGGAATCAAAACTCATGGAAGAGGTGATATATTTTATTAGACCACTTAGATACTTGCAAACCAGCTACATATTGACTGGGATGATCTAGTTGGGGATGGTCCTGCTTTGGGGAGTTGGACTACATGACCTCCTGAGCTCCCTTCCAACCCTTACTTTCTATGATTCAAACAAATTGTTTTATTTTTTTGCAAGCTGTTGGGCGCGCACACCCTTCATCAGGCATAGGAGGGAGCAGAAATTGTAAAAGTTCTCCTAGGTAGAAATGAAAATTCATATTTTACAGGAGAGCTGAAGGTATGGTAAAATCTACTTGGAATAGTTAATTTTGTCCAGGCACAGAGAGAGGCTGAAAAAGTCTTTTTACCTCAGAGTAGTCTGGGGACAAGCAGAATGTAGAAGCATATTTCTGCTGGTCTTGCTGCCCAAGTGCAGGGGGGCTGGACCCGACGATCTGTAAGGTCCCTTCCAGCCCCTAAAAAATTATGAAACTATGAAAGAATGCTTAGCCTTAACAATTTGGAAATTGAACAGTGGCACAGGAAAGAGCGAGGAAAAAAAATGAAACCAGAGGAGAGATGAAGGAATCGGTCATCTTTAGAACTTAGTAAGAGAAAAGGTGAAGAGAGAACAAAACGTCCAGGAACCAAATCAAAAAGCAAAGCGCTGATTTGTTCGAAAAGCTTGGGGCTGTTTGACATCTACATGAAAGAAAAGCAGCTGAAAGACTGTATGAGTAGTAGATTGTAGTCGGTAGACACAAAGAACTTAAATGCTGGAAAGTTGTCGTTGGTTTTGGACAACAGCTTAAAAGGATTCCCCTAAATCAGAAAGTGAAAAGATAGGTCTGAGCTCCAGATCAGTGTCCATGATTTCTGTTGCTAGTTCAGAAGATTCATGCCATACTATAGTAACTACTTCAAGACCTGACTTCTAGGGGAGTGGGGAAGCCCCCAGCCTTGCCAGCACCCAAAACTAGGGGCTATTACATGAGACTTCTGGCTGTGGACCCCAGCTAAGGATGACAGTCATAGGTCTGTAGGCATCACCTGGAGCCTAGTGCAGTGGGTGAAAGCCCCAAAAAGGCCATCGGGAGTTTTGGTGCCCTTTGTAGGGTGTTGACAGGACAGCAGTCTGGTGCACCTGTGGAAAACCCTCATACCCCCATGGAAGCCAAGGCTTTGATCTGCATGGATCTGAACACAAGATCAAGGGATTCATGTGGGACACTTTGAAGATTGTGCTTAGGAAGGAGAAGAGCTTTAAAGGAGTTGGTTGTGCAGGGAAAATTAGGCCAAACTTTAGATTTTGGTAGAAAAGGAACCTGGTCTACACATGTGACATTTGTCCCATGCCATGGCGGAAATAGTTTCTAATTGGTTATTCAATAAACGTTGGAAACGGAACATTGCACTAGTATAGCTGGAATCAACTAAGAATGTGCCATAACCACAAACTAAACTGATTAGCTCTGCGTCTGAGCTACAATCAGGCCCCAGAATGGAGGGGCAGATGCAGTCTAAATCTCTACTGACTTGGAATGCCAGAAGGGCCATCTAAGCATTTTTGGACTGAGAATCTTGCCACTTTCTAGTGTACTCTGATCAGCAGCGAAGTAATTTAGCATTGATATTTAAATTGTCATAAGTGATTTATGCAGATTCCAAGTTAATTTTGAATGCAAGCTCTCCATATTTATCAGAGTTGTTCTTTCAGGCCCTCTGCAGACTCTGGCAATCATCAGTGCATTGTTTTATGCTTGCTTTATACTTTGGAGACTTTTCTTTTGAACTATAATAGCTAAATTCTTATTGTTTTTAAAATGAAAACTGAAGCTCTGGTGCATAAGATTACAGCCATCACAAAAAAGTACCTGCTGATTGAATCCAGTACGAATTGTGGAAATGCAGAAAGAAAACACTTACTTATGCACGTGCTTAATTTCACTGGCCCTGCGTTTCATTGGTTTAACTGGTTTCCAGTTGATTTAATTGGAGTCATTGTGGTGACTCCTGGTAGCAAAGCTTTAAAAAGTTTGCATAAGTTTTTGAAGGATTGAGGACTGTTACTTTAAATATTCTAATAGGTCTGCAGTTGAAAACTAGATAAGGCTCTTCATTTTTAAAAATGTAATTTTGTATGGTTCCAGTCAGCATACACAAGCAAAAATGGTTGTAAAAGACTTTATTTGAATGCCTGAAAGTCCTACATGATAGTATCTGCCTTCCTTTAATGAGTGATTTATATAGGATATGCTTGATTAAGTTTTGGTGATCTGTAGTGATGTCCTCAGGTATTGGAGGACAGACACAGAATTCAAGTCTTGGCAAGTAAAAATTGCATTGTGTTCACCTTTGAAAGAAACACTATATTTGATATATTTGTTTAATGTTTTTCCATAGCCCACTTATCTGTTATAACTATCTTGGTACTTATATTTGCTGAAGTGTCCTGCCATAGAAATGTGATTTCACCACTGAAATATTATTTGTGTCACTTCATTCGTACAAGGCCAGATAATTACTTACAGAAACTATTGAGCCATTCATACTGTAAAGGTGACCTCTTTCTCTTGTCCATATAAAGGTTATGGATGTGAGAACTGCAATTACTTTTCAGATGATATGGAGAAGCTTTATCTGTAGAGCATGTTCAAAGAGCAGTCACTCTCCAGTTGAAATGATGATTTCTCTATTACCAGACTACTAATGTTTATGCTAATCTGGTACTAACATTGCTTTGGAGAGCCACCTTTCCCAGCATGCTAGTGACTAGCTGACAATGTGTACATAATTTAATATGCCACCTGTTTGTTGGAGACTTATCAAACTAGTTGGGAAGCAGTTGATATTTATGATGATTTCATAATTTCCATGGGGTACGAAATTGGGGGTTTGTGCAGTATGTTCCTTCACCTTGCTAATTTCAGTGCAGCTTTTCATGGAAAAGTTTTCAGATTCATACATTTATTCTCATCTACTTAAATCATCTTTAATGTGTACATAATAAAAACACTTGGCCGCACTATTTGCCTCAAGATTTATAAGATTATAGATTATAAAAGATGTAGATTAGTCTGTGGCCTCCAATGCAGCAGCATAGGATCACAACACACTATTAAGTGGCAAGTTTTTTTTTTGTTATTTTGTCTTGTATATATTTTCCTAGTTATTAATGGAGTGATACACACTAATTATATGTTATTTCTCCTCTTTTTCAGTGTTGCTCCCTGGAGAGCAGTGGTGGGTCTGGAAGTTCATGCACAGATCAATTCCAACTCCAAGATTTTCTCTGGCTCCCAAGTGCAGTTTACAGCACCCCCTAACTCTTTGGTATCTTTTTTTGATGCTTCTCTACCAGGAACCTTACCAGTAAGTTGCATTTAACCTTACCTTCTCTTACAACAGAATCTTAACAATTTTGCTGAGCAGATTTCTCAAGGCACAATTTTTATCTTTCCTTGTTCATAAGAGTTTAAATCTAGCCCTGTTCTTGAATTTATCTGCCTGAAGCTCCTACTTGGTAACTTTAGATCTTTATTTTAATATTCTTTGAGTAATGTATGTTGTAGTTGTGTAACCACAGACCTCTGAAAATTCCTGATAAGGAAGTAATGCAGGATTAAGGGTAAAAATTTTATGAGCCCAGAATGAGTGTATTTGCAGGGTAATGTTGATTGATGTTTGTTGGTTATGTTGTATTTAGTTAGTAAGCAGCACTAGAAGTTCCTTAAATATTTGGAGGTATTAAAATCCTACAAAAGATGAGCATGTTAGATTGTCAAGCAGCTATTGCCATTACTTTGCCATATGTGTTTTCATGTAGCTGTCATTTACTGTTTGGAATGCCTCAGAGTTGTTTTTTGAAGCAAAACCTATCTGATTTGGAAAACTGTAAACCGTTTTTATTTTTTATTTATATTATGCTATAAATATTCATAACACTTTACAGAGTAGTAAAAGAGGGATTATGGAGATAACTCTTAGTCCTAAGAATTTATTAGTGGCAACATAATTCTTTTTTAGTTTAAAGTCTCATTTGAATTTTTCAGTATGATTTTTCTCTGAGGTGACCATGACAGTAATTCTTGTGAGTACTTGCACATTGTAAAGCTCTTGGGGATCCTTTTTGGAGAGAGGTGCCATATAAATGTAAAGTATTATGTATACAAATTTGATGTGTTTGAAAAAGTAACTATTGAATGGGCTTATTCATACATCAAGTATATTCTGTTGTGGTCTTTGTAAACGAGTATCAGTGGAGTCAAACTATTTAAAGCAGAAGTGCTTCACTGACTGACTTCATTGGAAGTCAAACCTGAATTTCTTTTATTGTCCTATTTGAACACTTTCTTCTCTGAAAAAGAACAGTAGGTGGGATTTTTGAAATTAGGTATAAACCTCTGGAAAGGCACATAGGATCTTGGGGGAATCCAAGCCATGTGGAAAACACCTTGGGGAGCTTGAGAACAGAAATGTGACTTCAGTTACAAAGTAAAAGGTATTATGAAAAGTAAAAGTACTTGTGGAAGTATTGGAAGGTGGATGAGGTGGTATAGTTTATATTAGATTATTGGATTGGTGGTAAATTCCAGGGAGATGTCACAGTATAATGAGAACTACCCCAAGGGAGGGTTAAATTCTAATGAATACACTGTTTTCAAAAGATTTCTGGTATCTTGTATGGAACTGATGAGAGCAACTGTTTTCAGGAGGTGTTGGTGGTACTGAATTGGAAATTAAATTCCTTTTTAATTTTGAATCTAGTACATAGCCAAAAACCAGGAAGGCAGGATTAGAGCATGGGTTTTATGTCTGTCTACACTTCCTTTCTACTGTCATTTTTGCTGTGGTTTAAGTTCAAGGTTCTGGTTTTGGCCCATCTAGTTAATACTTGGTCAGTGAATGGAAATCAAATCACCTAATGCATATATTGAATCAAATTGGAAGTTGCCCAGGAAGAAAAAAAAAATAGGCCAAAGCATGGTGGAATTATAGTTCATGGAGGGTTTTCTGGCTCTATATTTCTTTGTTAAATAAAAATATCTTTTTTCCTCAAGATTTGTTTTCAATCTCATTTTTGCTCTTTATAAAAGGGGCTGGCTCTTGCTTTCATGAGTGTTTCCTAGCGGAAAATCATGGGCTTCACCAGCTACAGACTTTGGTGGAGAAGATAACTGCACCTGATTAACAAAGAACCTGATGATTAGATTAATCAAAAATTAGTGATACTGCTCGTTTGCCTCCTTCAACTGCTTTTATCTGTATGGGAGGGGGGATCCTAGTCCAAATACAATGAGGGCAGAGTTGAATATGAATATTTAAAATTTTCTTGTACTTGTTTGTAAGACTGTAGTATGGAGCCCATTCTTTATGTAAGCTTTGTTTTCCCACAGCATTCACTACATTAGCCAAGACTGATCTTTGTTTTGGCATCAGAGGACTGATTTGTTTAGGCATGTGCATTAGAAATATCTGGAGCGTGATAGGAAATGATATTTTTTGCAAATCTTCTAAATAATTTTAGACCAAAATTTGTACCTTTCTTAAAGTTGTATTATTTTGCTGGAATAGGTCTCTAGGATCTCAGTAACTAATATTTCCTTTGAACTCTTGCTATTTTGCAGAGAAACTAATAAGAAAAGCAATATTTTAGTAGAACTGGGAAAACACAATATTTGTGCTGCGTCTGCAGCAGAGGATAACTACAGTAATAAATGTTGTTCTGAGAACTGTAGTGACAGTTATCGGAATCACAGGGATTTAAATTTATGGAGAGATCATCCGACAGTAGCAAAGGAGGACCATCTGTGTATTACTGTGCCTTGTATAATGCTTCCCCAGTGGTGCCAGAACGAATGGCACTAAAGGAAACTGATATGATTGCCATACATTTCTGGATCACTAGTTAGAGTACAGATGTGCGAGTGTCACATCCATGTCATCATGCTGCTGCTCATGATGTGCCTTAGAGAAAAATCTGTGGGCATGAGCCACAGTGCAGCTGCAATCCTATTTGGAAATGAGGTAGAATTAAGGGATAGTTTGAGGAGTGGGGAGGTGGGGTAGGGGAGGGAGTGCCTACATATCTTTCCCAATGACAGCAGTAGACTACAGCTATATTCTTCTGGCTTATACTATAATCCTATATAATTTTGATCCTCCTGCCATGGAACTGTTGGAGAGAACTACGTCCTGATCAATTATGGTACTTTCCCAAGTATAACATAGACAGCTCTTCAGAGACTTATTTTATTCTCTGAGGGTTTTGCTGTCTTGTAGAACTCTATAAGAGCTTTCAAAACTATAATGTGCACAAGTGTGCACCTTATTTTTATTTTTTTTTTAACCACCTCTCCCCTAGGTATGAGGGCTCCAGTGATGAGCTCTGGTTAGCTGCCTTTAATGTTAACAGGGGCTTGGGCTGTAAATAACAGCTTCTGAAGATCCCTGCAATTGCACAGCCAGGTGACATGTGGCAGGCCCTGTGTAGCATTCTGTATATGAGCCATTAAGGCTACCTTATTTACAACCTGAGCTTTGTTCTGTTGAAGTTAATCAGAGTTGTTGCTTAATGGTAGATGAAATCAGGTCCATAATAAAACGACCAGACGGATCTCAGCAACGCAGAATAAACCACCTAAGATACCCATGGGTAAGGCACAGCTATTTAAATCATGCAAATAGTAAAAACCATTTGCCAGATTATGTTGCTTTTGATGTTAAAGGCGTTTGTTACATGTTACCTTTAGGCCATGCTAAATCAATGGAATATGATGGAGTACTAAAGTTAGAACGTGCTGTGAGCAGTTGCATGTTTATGGGTAATATGGTCTCTGACCTGCACAGCTATCGTTTGCTGCTAAGGGACTGGCAAGCAGGGTACGGTTAGGAGTAAGGATACCTTGGCTGCAAGGGTCAGGGAGGGAGAGGGTTGCAGCAATGGGATCTTGGAGCTGGGAGGCGGTAAATAATGAGGCCATGGGTCTCTTGTTTCCTCTGCAGGCCCCCTGAATTACTGTGGGGGAGAGCTCTGCTGCAGGGAGCCTTCCACTGACCCTGCCCACCTGATCTCAGTTCCCACCTCCAACAGCTCTCCCTCTTGTTCCAGCCGCCTTTGGAGCGTGCTGTGTCTTTCCATGCTCTCTCCATATTAAACCTTCGTAGCTCTGCACTCTGGCTTCCAACCCCTCTATGGCACAGCCCTCTTCCACCCTTTCTAGTCCCAGACAAGAGGTGCCACAGTCCCCATCAAACCACCTGGCAAGGAGAAAGCTGGCCATTGTTGGGGTAAAATGGGGCCAGACCGCATGGGGAAAATTTCAGTTAACATTGAGTAACTGTTGTTAATTGAATTTTCCTGCAGGATTTGCTTGGTTCTAGGCCAAAGGTGAAGCCCTCTCCAGGGAAGGTTGTGAGGGGGCTGGGATTGGGTTGGCAGGGGTCAGTGGTGGGCTTCCCAGCTTCATACTTCTGCCGCCACAGCACCCCCTCACTCGGCACTGGTGGGGTTCCCACCTACCCCCAGGCAGTACCAGCCCTTGGGCAGTAGAGTTTGGGAGGATGGGTAGATCCTCCAGGATATTAGGAACACATTGGAGGCCTTGGCATAAGTGCCTCTGTCTTGTATACATTCTCCATTATGTAATTCATAGATGTTAGGGACTGGAAGGGTCCTCACAAGATCATCGGATCCGGCCCCCTGCACTTGCGCAGGAAAGATTGCTGGGGTCAGATGACCCCAGCAAGGTGTACGTCAAGTCGTTTTTTAAAGATCTCCGGCATACGTGATTGTACCACTTCTGGGGGGAGTCTGTTCCAAACCCTAGGCACTTGAATCATAACTAAATTTCTCTTTATGTCCAATCTGAAGCGATCTTCAAGTAATTTGTCTGTTGTTTCTTGTCTTACCCTGGGGTGCCTTGGTGCACAGATGCTCCCCCAGGCCTTGATGTATGCCCCTTATATATTTATAGGCTGTACCAAGTCTCCTCTAGGTCATCTTTTCTCCGGGCTGAACAGTCCCATGTTTTTCAGCCTCTCCTCATATGACCTGCTCTCCAGACCTCTAATCATGTGTGTGGCCCTCCTTTGGACTCTCTCAAGTTTCTCCACATCCTTCCGGAAGTGCGGCACCCAGAACTGGATACAGTCCTCCAGCTGCGGTTTCACCAAGGCCGAGTAGAATGGGAGGATGACATCCTTAGTCTTGCTTGAGATGCATTGGTAGTTGCATGCCAATGTTTTATTCGCTTTGCCAGCTACAGCATCACATTGGTGGTTCATGTTCATTCTGTGGTCTATCACAACCCCTAGGTCTCTTTCAGTTGTGGTGCTGGCAAGTACAGCACTGCTGAGTCTGTAAGTGTTGC